AAATAAATAAACAAATAAATAAATAAATAAATAAATAGATTTTAAAAAAGCAGAGACATCACCTTGCCGACAAAGGTCCGCATAGTCAAAGCTATGGTTTTTCCACTAGCAATGTATGGAAGTGAGAGCTGGACCATAAAGAAGGCTGACCGCCAATTAATTGATGCTTTTGAATTGTGGTGCTGAAGGAGACTCTTGAGAGTCCCCTGGACTGCAAAGAGAACAAACCTATCCATTTTGAAAGAAATCAACCCTGAGTGCTCATTGGAAGGAGAGATCCTGAAACTGAGGCTCCAATACTTTGGCCATCTCATGAGAAGAGAAGACTACCTGGAAAAGACTCTGATGTTGGGAAAGTGTGAAGGCAAGAGGAGAAGGGGATGACAGAGGACGAGATGGTTGGACAGTGTCAATGAAGCTACCAGTGCGAATTTGACCTAACTTCCGGAGGCAGTGGAAGACAGGAGGGCCTGGCCTGCTCTGGTCCATGGGGTCACAAAGAGTCGGACACGACTAAACGACTAAACAACAACAAAAATCCAAAGGCATATGGAACAATAATACAGTGTTGTCAGGCCACCAGAAGCTCATAAAGGATGGATTCAAACTACCTTCATTTGGGGAAGTTTGTTCTACAGGTGAGGTGTTGTTACAAAGAACCCCGGACTCATACGTTCACCATCCTAATCGCTTGGGATGATGGAACACTCAACAAGACTTCCATTGAAGATCTTAAATTCTGTGCAGGCTCTTATTATGGGAAGAGGTAGTCTTTCATATCCTGGCACCTTGCTGTTTACATTTCTAAAGACCAAAACAAATCTTGAAATGAGCACACAAATTGGGAGGTCAAGACAGCTGGTTAAAAAGTGGTGATATTACTGTCAGTCAGACAATAGCCTGGCCACTGAACTTCGCATCAGAATAAGCTTCTATCCAGGGGCAGCCCCATGTAGAATATACTACAGTAGTCTAATTTAAAAAATCAAGGCTTCAGTTATTGTTGCCAAATTCTTCCCTAGGAAGAGACATCTGTATTGTTGCTAAATCCAGTGCTAGTCTTACCTAAACATTGATATTCTGGGTAACAATTGTAGCCTATAGTCACTCCATAAGTCACATTGACTTCAGTGGATTTATTCTATGAGACTAACATTGGCTAAAGACCAGGGTGAGCACAGCACCTCCCTGCATTCCTCCCTCTGCCTCTGCTGTCTAGAGTGGGTAGAAGTTGCAATCCAACAACAACTTAAATACTGCACTTTGCTCTCCCTGATTTAGCCTTACTCGTTTATCTGCCTTGGTAAACTTCATTTCAAAGGTGCAGTAAAAGTCTATGAAATTTGAAAATTTAAAAAATTTTAAAAATGAAGCTCAGAGGATGACTTATCATATTTGTTACACACTTACAAGGGTAGCTATCACAATTGGCCAAAATCCTGTTGTCAGTTTACAGCTGCAAAACACATATAGTGTAACTTTTCATGGCAAATTATTGCAAGTTGACAAGTCAGCATAAACATTATTCATTGCATACTGAATGGGCCATCTCTGTTGATTTTATAACTTGTGTGGATTAACTCCCGAAGTTACACCATTTATGCTTGTGGACGTAATTAACAGGATTTTGGCCAATAACTTGTGTCCCGGACCTTCAAAATATATCAAAAGAACATCACACTGATTGAGATTAGGGACATGGAAATTTTTTTCCAGCATCTTGCTTCCTGACCAATATAGAGATTGCTTGTCAATAAATCACTAACACCTGCGAAAGTACTTAACTCCAGCATGAGAAAAAGAAAAAGTTTTCCCCTTGATTTTTCTTCACATTTCATACAAAATACCTCTGTGCAAAGTTGGCATCTTTCCACTTTAAAAAAAAGCACACAGGCACAGCAAGCACAGAAGGACAGGCTGATTAATGGGAAAAAAAAGAGATACAAACAACCCATTGAGCACTTCTTATTTCATAAAATCTGTGCAACAAGGGAGCAGTTAATATATTCTGTGCATCAATCCGCCTTGCAATTTGCACAACAATTGGTCTTGCAAATAGAAAACTGTTATTGAGAATAATCAGAAAAATCTCACCACCTTGCAGCCAAGGAGAAGAATGGCAAGGTTTCTCAATAATGTGTGTGAAAACAGACAAGTGAGGATTTACATCCCTTGTTCAGATTAGGGCTGTAAATCTTCCCTTGTTTTTCCCTTGCAGGCAAGGTTGAAGAATTGCAACACTCTTCTTCTTGGTGGCATTGATTGCAAAGGATTTCCGTGGGCGTTTGACAAAGTTCTTGCAGCAGCATGAGCAATGTTTTGTTAAAAATCTCCTGTTCCCCCCCCCTGAAAAAGTGCATAATTCCCAAATCATCTGAACTGTGCCAATTGCCCAATGTCAGGTTAACTGATGCTTTGTCAAAAAGTGTAAAGAATTAAATGGGTCATTTCATTTTCATTAACAATCAGCCAGTTGGTGTATTTTGTTTCTCAAGAGAAAAGGACACTGGAGACATTTTACACAAATTACATAGACCTTCAAGATGGTGGTGGTGGGGGGCAGAAGAAAGCTTTGTTTCACTCTTGGCTGGGGGGAAGGAACTCAGCAGGGCTTCAAAATTCCTCATCAAAGTGTCTCATCACACTGAGACAGCCTAAACAAATGAAACCAAGGAATTTAGCATGTGTTTTCCCCCCATTCTTAATTGAGACCTCACTTTTCTTTAAGAGAATGGCATTTCATTTTGTTCAAATGCACTTCAACTGCCAAATGAGTCACATCAACCAGCATCCATAGATATTGACATGAAACAAGTCCATCTGGTGTATTTACTGACAATTCTATTAAAAAATCACCCTCATACATAGTTGTTTAGACTGATATTTTAAGACTTTTGACAATATTAAAAATAGATATCTAAGTTGTTGAAACATAAATACTTCAGTCTTGTGATAACAATGTGAAATGCACTTGTAAGGAATCCCCTGAGGGCCTCCCACTAGACGAAGGAGCTCTTTCAATCCAAGATTGGGTGAGACCCAGAAGGTGCATGAATTAGCATTATGGGCAAACTTCTAACCAAGATTTTTC